GCTAGGAAATATTAGGGAGGAGTTAGAAAATACTGTGAATGAGCTAGGAAATATTAGGGAGGAGTTAGAAAATACTGTGAATGAGCTAGGAAATATTAGGGAGGAGTTAGAAAATACTGTGAATGAGCTAGAAGATACTGTGGATAAGCTAGAAAATATTATGGTTGGGGAAAAAATTACTGGGGATGGGCAAAAAACCATTAGGGATGAGCTAGAAAATATTACTGAAGAACTAGAGAATAATGGGGATGAGCTTAAAAAAACAACATATAATTATTACGGATGAGCTAGAAAATAATATGGATGAGCTAGAAAATATTACGTGTATGCTAGAAAATACTGGGAATTAGCTAAAAATTGTTAGACTAGAAAATATTAATTTTTTTTATAGTACAGGGTTTTACGGCGCTCCCAACTTCATAAGGTCATATGAGCGCCAAGGGGTGGGTGTCAACAGAGAAGTCTTTACAGGGAATCAGACTTAGACTGCTCACCTCTCTAGCTTCAACAGTTCTGCTAAGACCATCAAGGCACCCCGGAAATAGCAGGTCACAAGAGAGTGACAAACATACAAAAGAAGTAGAGGGAAATGACAATAGTAAGGATCACGAAAGAAAAAGCAGCAGTTCTCTGTTGTAGATCAGGCACAGTTATGAGCGTGACATAAGTCAGCCCATTAACAATTTCTACTATGCTTGAACGAGAAATGTCCCCCCTTTGGGAATGGCCTAAAGACACCACAGTCAGTGGCACTGCCATCTAAAAATACATGTATTGAGAATGAGATTAAAAAAATTGTGTGGATTATAAACAAAAGTCTTGGCAATATTGGGGATTATTGGGGAGGAGCTAAAAATTACTGGGGATGAGGTAGAAATTATTACGGATGGACTAAAAAATATAAGGGATAAAGTAGAAAATACTGTGGAAGAGCTAGGAAATACTACGGATGAGCTAGGAAATACTACGGATGAGCTAGAAAATAATGGGGATAAAGTAGAAAATACTGGGGATGAGCTAGAAAATATTAGGGATGAGCTAGGAAATACTGGGAATGAGCTAAAAAATATTAGGGATGAGCTAGGAAATACTGGGGGATGATTAGAAAATACTGAAGATGACCTAAAAAATATTACAGATGAGCCAGAAACTACTAAAAACGAGCTAGAAAATTTTAGGGATGAGCTAGAAAATACTGGGGATGAGCTATAAAATATTAGGGATGAGTTAGCAAGTATCAGGGAAGAAGTAGAAAATACTGGGGATGAGCTAGAAAATATTAGGGAAGAGCTAGAAAGTATTAGGGATGAGCTAGAAAGTATTAGGGACGAGCTAGAAAATACTGAGGATGACCTAAAAAATATTACAGATGAGCTAGAAACTACTGGGGATGAGCCAGAAAATATTGGGGGTGAGCTAGAATATACTGGGGAATATTTAGGATAAGCCAGAAAATATTTTTTTAAAGGACTCAAACATTCTGGCAAATTTTGGCGATCCGCTAAACAATACTGGGAATTATCAAGAAAATACAGATGAATACTGGGGGTGAGCTAAAAAATACTGGAGATGAGCTTCAAAATATTGGGGATGTGCTAGAAAATACAGGGGAGGAGCTAGAAAATATTATGGATCAGCTAAAAAATATAAGGGATGAGCTAGAAAAATACTGGGGATGCATTAGAATATATAAGGGAGGAGCTATAGATGAGCTAGAAAAGTCTGGGGAGTATTAGGGATGAACTAGAAAATATTGGGGATGGGCTACAAAATATTTGTGATGTGATAAAAAATGTTGGGGATGAGCTAGAAAATAATATTAAGAATCTAAAAATATTGGGATGAGCTTTTAAATATTAAAGATCTAAAAATATTGGGGATTAGCTTTTAAATATTAAAGATCTAAAAATATTGGGGATTAGCTTTTAAATATTAAAGATCTAAAAATATTGGGGATTAGCTTTGAAATATTAAAGATCTAAAAATATTGGGGATTAGCTTTGAAATATTAAAGATCTAAAAATATTGGGGCTGAGATAAAAAATGTTGCGGATGATATACAAAAGTCTTGGAAATTTTGGGGATGAGATAGAACATTTTTTGGTATCAGCAAAAAAATATATTCTAATGCAACTGAAAAGTTTGAGGAATATTAAATCTGGTATGAGAAAGAAATTAATATTGAGCATAAGCTAGAACATTTTGGGGATGAGGTAGAAAATATATTGGGGATAACATGAAAAATATTGCGGTTCAGCTAGAAAAGGTTGGGGATAAACTAGAATATATTAAGGATGAGCTAAGAAATATTGCGGATGACCTAGAAAATATTACGGTTGAGCAAGAATATAGTGGGGATGAGCTAGAAAACATTAAGGTTGAGTTTGAAAATAATAGGGAACATTTAGAAAATACTGGCAAGGAGCTAAAAAATAATGGGGAATATTCAGAATGAGCTAGAAAATATTATGGATGAGCTAGAAGATAGTGATAATCGAGAAAATACTGACATATAATAAAACCACTGTAAGTAGGCCCTCTATGTAGGCCATATATGTAGGCCATCTATGTAGGCCCTCTATGTAGGCCCTCTATGTAGGCCCTCTATGTAGGCCCTCTATCTTGTGTCTGTGAAATTATGTACTAAAATCCACCTCTTCTGAAGCTCCTGCAACTGTTGTTTCTTGTTTTAGTAAGATTTTTACAGCCCTTGCAATACAATGAGGCCATATCACTGCCACAGCTCAGAAGTGTTACAAGAGAGTAACAAACAAACGAGGAGGAGGCGAGAAAAGGACGATAGATTTAATGTTTGATCAGAAAGAAAGAGCAAACCACACCAGAGCCTCTGTGCTGTAGCAGTTATTGAGTTAAGCCCTTCACCATCAAACCCAGAGCCAGAAAACTCAAGTTCGAACCCCAAGTGGGCAGAAATTTTATTGAGTATCTTTCTGCTAGGATGTTGCATCTTTCTCAGCCCATGTTGGCCCTGACAGGCAGGATGGCAAGCCAGCCCCCTATATGACCTAAATCATGCCAATGGAGCCGTAAAAACAAGCACTGAAAAAAAAAAGAAGTTCCCAAGAAATAATATACTAAAACATTTATTTCAACAAATTTTAATATATACATTTATATATTTACACACATATATATATACTTAACATTATTATGCAATCAGCAAATTAGTTACATGCAGTATGTGAAAACCATCGCATTGAAACATGAGAGTGAGAGAGTTGTACACGCTCAGCTACACACAGGGAGGAGCACAATTCCAAACTGACAAACGTCAAACTATCTGATGGAGCAAGCAGTTTACATCACATAAAACAACAACAGTTTTGCAGCCGTTTTGAAAGCTTGAGGAAAAAAAAAGCTTGAGTAAGAACATAAACGTCAGAGAAAAAAGGGCCATCAGTTTGTGAGTATCATCATGGTCAGCCCAGGACTGACGAACATTTCTGGGTCACACTCCAGCCACCCACGTGCTCACGACACTGCCCAAGACAAGATGACCACCTGTGTAAGATGACCACTCTCTGCTTGGACAACCGGGGGTCGACTTGGACACATTTGACGGTACTTGTGTGAGCCACCTACAACCACGTAACTACCACAACCAACAGAGACTAGACTTAAGGACATATATTGTAGGCTGCAACATATCATTCAATCAGACATATATATATGTTTGTACATATCGTAGAATCAGGCATATATATATATGCTTGTACATATACAAACAATTAGGCATGTGCATGTAAATTTCCATCAATCGTAAGCTACACAAAGATACAAAAAGTGGACACAACTGAGGTAACGACACTGAAGTTCTGATTGCTACATGTGTGTCCTGTGATACCCTACTTGGTGTTTCGTTAATACAACGAGATATTTCAGAACGTACGACATTTCTACGGACGTACAGCTTTTTTTCCCCACCAAGCACAAAGACAAACACCAATTCCACGTGACTAGCGGGTGTCCACCACAAGGACTTCACAACACGGTGACGTTACAAGACACGGCGACTGTCACTTCACCTCTCTCACACACACACACACACACACACACACACACACACACACAGGCTGCATCCATCACCCACTGGCCAAGTGTACATGAGACCACCCAAGACTACATTTAAAAGACAATTTCTATTTCCTTTACTTTCAACACACATGGCAACGGCTATGTTTTGCCAAGAACAATGAGAACAATGACAGAAGTAGAGGGAACAGACCACACAGCAATTACACACACTTAGATCAAGCAAAGCACACCATCACCATGGCAACAAGGATGCCAGAAACAAATTAAAACTTTGACCACGTCCACCAAAGAGAAGAGCCAGATCTTCCTGTAGATCTTTGTGCCTGGCCGGCCGGCGATGAGCTACAGACAAACCTGCTCCGCTCTATCGGCCACATGTCCCAGACAGTCATCTGGAACGATTCCCCCACCCCCACCCATGTTTATTCTAATTACCATGAAACTGGCCAAGACACCCACCTGTCTAAGACAACCATTTCCCTCTGAGACAATGGGTGGCTGAACAACTTTGACTTTATTGTAATACAAAACACAACACACACATGTGTCCTAAATCCCACATGGAAATAAAGAAGCCAGACTGGAACAAGAGAAGTAAGTGATTTTAAAAATCCTGTTCAGAGAAAACTGGCCCAAAGGGAACCTTCAAGCTACTCAGTGAAATGGGACACAGAAATACTCACATCGAGCAGTTAGATAAAAACAATCAGATTTATACCTTAGCTGGCAGCTTTATTCAACATTTCAACTGGACACAGCAAATAGCATGATATATCAGTGTACCGGTTCGGGTAAAAATCTACTCCAAGACACCAAAAAAGAGCTTGTACAGCTGTTTAGAATATCATTGTCTGTTGTTAGCGTACAGATGTTTGGACTGTCCTCTGTGACCAACTTTCACTTTTCACTGTACAAAAGAACAAAACTGAAGAAAATGAGGGAAAAGGAAAAATTGGAACATTTATAAAATTCAGGGACTTCAAAGAACCGCTCTGATCTGCTACGGATTCTTCCACACAGAAGGGAGAAGTGAGTCAGCTGTAGACAAGTCACACGTCACAACAACACACGTGAAGGTGAGTGAACAAGTTAGACTTTACAACAATACGTGAGTGAACCCTGACCCAAGTCTTTCCACCAAACTGTCACTTATTCATTCATCACAAACAACCTTGAGTGTAAACAACCTTGAGTCTGATGGTCGGTTGCATTTCTTTTTCTCCCACTGTACAAAGCACTCAGTCACTCAGTCGCTGAGTCACTCAGTTGTAGAGCTCTCCCCCTGCACAAAGACACTCCGTCACTCATCAGTCAGTCAGTCGTAGAGCTCTCCCACGTTCGGGTAGACGTCGTAGGACACGCGGAAACAGTTC